GCATGACCGTTGATGTGTAGTGAGCCGTGAAAATCAGGAAGTGTGAATTCTATCATTTCCTTCTTTGCAAGATTCCTTTGGCTATGCTGGGTCCTTTGCAATTCCATATGAATTTTAGAATCAACTTGTTTACTTCTACTGAATTATCAGTTGGGGGGCCGGGGATATAGCCCAGTGGCATAAGCACATGCCTGGCAAGCGCAAGGTCCTGAGTTTGATTCCCAGTACCAAAAAATAAATTATCAGTTGGGGTTCTGGTGAGGGTTGCAATATATATACATCAGTTTGGAGAATAGTGACGTCTTAATGTTAAATCTTATAATCCACGAACAAAGGGTGTGTTTCCAGTTTTTAGATCTTCAATTTTGTGGGGTTTTTTTCTTTTCACTTTAGTTATTTGATTTGTTTGTTTGTATGTTTGTTTGTGATAGAGTCTTGCTATGTATTTCAGGCTGGCCTTGAGCTCCTTGTATACCCCAGACTGGTCTTGAATTCATGGCCAACCTCCTGCCTCAGCCTCCTAAGTACTGGGATTACAGGTGTGCACCACCATACCTTGCTAGATTTTCTTTAATTTCTTTGAATAGTTTTATAATTTTGAGAATGTTTTAAGAGGCTCATGCTCTACCGACTGAGCTAGCCGGGCACTGGACTGTTTTAAACTCCTTTTGTTATATGTATTTTAGTCTTTTGATACTATTGAAGATGAAGTTATTTTCTTAACTTCCTAATTTTCAAATTGTTTATTTAGAAGTTGATTTTTGTATATTTATCTTGTATTCTGCAGCTTTACTGAACTCATTAGTCCTAACAGTTGTTTTTATTGGATTCCTTAGGACTTTCTATATATGAGATTATTTTTCATCTACAGAGATAGTTATATTCTTTCCTTTCCTATCTGAAAGCCTCTTGTCTCCTTTTCTTACCTAATTCCCTGGGCTATAACCCCTAGTACCACATTGAAGAGCCTAGAATAAAAATCCTGATCTTAAACAGGTAACATTCAGTCTTGGCTGTTTTGTATGAGGTTAGCTGTGGATTTATCATTATTGACTTTTATCAGGTTAAAGAAAGTATATGTGGCTCCTATCTTATTGAATGGTTTTTTGCCATGGGAGCATCTTGGATTTTGTCCAATGGGCTTTCCGAAGCATTTATTGAGATAGGTGATTTTTGCTTTTTATTCTATTGATGTGATGTATAATGACTATTGAATTAATATGAATTATTTGTAATGCATTCAGGATTTGTTTTGGTCCAGTAGAGTAAAGTAACAGATATAAACAACCGCTTATAGTTCTCTAGAGAAGTGGGTTCACCGTGCCAACAGAGGTGCATGGAGAGGAATTGAGATCACACAGGAGCCAAGGGGGAATCATGACACAGAAGCCCTAGTGTGATTTCCTTGGAGGGAAATGGGCAAGGCACCGTAGCCAAATTTGAGCAAGTTTAGCATTAGTTAATATGAATAATTTTGGTGGGCTCTGGGTTATGGGGGAGTGCTAGCTGTTCAATACTTGTGATTCAGGGCAGGGAAAATAGTGGCAGGTGACTTTGTATTTGTGGACTGTACTCAAAAGCCAGATTGTTTACGATCCCTGGGAATTTGATAGCTGTATTTCTAGCACTTGAGAGGCTGAAGCAGGAGTGTCATGAGTTAAAGGCCAGCTCTGGCTACGTAGCAAGACCCTGACTCGAAAACAAAAACAAAACAATAATTTTTTCCAATGTTGAACCAATCTTATATCCATAGGCTAAATCTCACTTGATCATGGTGCATACTTCTTTTATGTTGCTAGATCATAGTATTGTGTTGAGGATGTTTATGTACATTTCATAAAAGATACTGGCCTATAGCGGAGGATTTCATTATTTTTCTTTCTTTTCTTTCTTCTATGCAGTTTTCTTTCCTCCCCGTCCCCATGGCATGGGGGAATGAACCCAGAGCCTTAACACTGAGCTGTAGTCCCAGCTTTCTTTTTTTGTTGTTGTTGTTGTTTTGGGTTTTCTTGTTTTGTTTTCTTTTTAGACAGGATCTTTCTAAGTCACTAAGTTGCCCAGGCTGGGCTTGAACTTCCAGTCCTCTTGTTTCAGCCCCCCAGAGTGCAGGTGATACAGGAGAAATGTAACTCCCGACCTGTGAGATGTCGAAAATGCTGAGTACATGGTCCCACATGAATGAAGTCACAAACCAAAGAAGTTAGGAGAGTTTCATGAAAACAAGGAGGGGAGAAAAGTCCCTGGACTTCCAGAGGAGTCTTTTTTTTTGGTTTTTCTCCGGTACCAGGAACCAAACTCACGACCTTGCGCTTGCCAGGCAGGCTCTTTTGCCGCTGAGCTAAATCCCCAGCCCCCTTCCAGAGGAGTCTTGAATGGGTGGTCACCAAGGCCCATTTTCAGGAGTAATTTATACATAAAATCACATTGTAGGCAAAAACATGGATCACACTACAGTCAACCCACAGGATTACAAGTACAGCTGTTTAGCTAATATTGATGCAATCGGGAAATGAGTCCCGTAGCAAGCGTACATGGAAAGAACAAAGGCATTTTGGGGAAGGGAGGGGTGACTGATGTCTATCTGGACAGAGTGGACCAGGTGGTGCTAACTATAGTATAATTTCAACTTACCGTTTCTCCCTTAGGGAGCCACATAGCCCTGGCCACTCATCCTGAGGCCTGGCCTCCTTCAGCTGCACCTCCAGCCACAATTCTGATGCCTTTACTTTTTTGTGTGCTGATTTCTTTGCGGGCCCAGTCCCTCTCTGACTGTATATTAATTTCTATCTAAATTAGCTGCCTTTAATATTGGGATTACAGGCATGTACCACCACGCTCAAGTTATAACAACTTACTTTTCTTTTTTTGCTGTTCTTTTGAGACAGGATCTTGCTGGGTAGATTGGCCTTGAGCTCACTGTGTAGCTCAGGATGACCTCTAATTTGTGGAGATCCTCCTGCCTCAGCCTCCTGAGTGCTGAGATTACACATGTCTGCCACTAATTTGTGGAGATCCTCCTGCCTCAGCCTCCTGAGTGCTGAGATTACACATGTCTGCCACCATGCCCAGCTTAGTTTTATTTTCATGTGATATTTTTTTTCCTGGATTCATTATCAGAGTAATACTGGATTCACAGAGTAAATTGGAGGATGTTCCCTCCCCTTACATATTCTCGAACAGTTTGTGAAGTACTGGTATTGACTGGTCAAATTTGGCTCCCAGGCTGTCTAAGCCTGGCCTTTTCTTTCTGGGCAGTGTCTTTTCACTCTATCAGTGTCTTCTCTTGCTATTTGTCTATTTATACTGTTGCTCTTGTGTCAGTTTCAGTCTCTGAATGTTCATCTCATCTAAGAGGTCTAATTTGTTCATGTTCGTTTGTTCATATTATGCCGTTGTAATTCTTCTTCAAACATGGTTTCCTTTAGTGCTCTGTATGTGTTTCTAACAACTGAAGTCTTTTTCTGATACATCTTGCATCTGAAAGTTCTCAAAGATGGTTTGATTTTTTTCTCCCCAGTGTGTGGGTCACACTTTCCTCTTTCCTTGCATGCCTCACAATTTTTTTTTTTTTTTGAAACTGGAAATTTTAGATTGCATATTGTATCAACACAGGTTCTAGAGTCCGTCCCCTCCGCTGGGTTAGAATAATGAGAACCATTACCCGCCCCCCTCGCCTCCCCCTCCACGGCTCCCTAGGCGGGCACAGCTGCGGGAAGACCCCTGGCACCTTGGGATGACAGCGGTTTGGGCAGGGGTTCTCCTTTGTTCCTTGGACCATGCTCACCTGTTAACCCTCACTATTTGATGGCTGATTTTTATTTTCAAGCATGTCTTGGGGCATAAACTGTTTTACAAGTAAATTGAATCATTTTCTGATTCCTTAAAGGAATCCCTCCTGAGGCTGGTGTTGGACATTTTGTTCCAGGACACAAGGGTACTTTGCAGCTGTCACCTTCCCCGGTCTCCCCGCCCCCACTCTGAATTTTACCAATGTCTTGACTCTCTCCAGCGGCCTTCCATCACTACCTCCCCTTAAGCTCGGTCTTCTTCAAGCTCTTCCCCAAAAAGGTACTTTGGGAGGAGGTGCTAACACCGTGGGCCTCATGTCCCATTTATCCCCCCACCTCAAAACACAAAATCTCTGAACCATGGCTCTGGTGTGGGGTGTGCAGGCTCTGGTCCTTTGTCTCTGAGGGACACCCCTGCTCCAAGACCTGAGCACTCAGTGGAGGAGCTTGTCACCCTGGTGTGGAACCACCATCTCAGGATGGGGGACAAAGAAGAGAAGGACTTCAATGTTCACAGCATGCTATGACCAACTTAGAGCCCCCATTCTCTGAGTTAGGCAGAAGAGGGAGCCCCTGCCTAACCCAGGACTTAACCTCGGCAACTGAAGATGAGACAGAAGGAGGCGTGCTGATGTCCTGATCCTCCTGGGGTGAAGGACTTCCCCCTGGGATTCAGAACAGATTGGGGGCCTTGTGCTTTTGGCTGTAACAGCCCAGAGTGGAGTCTCTACCTTGGCGGGTCGCCAGGGGAAATGTGTGAAGTGATGTTGCTTCAAATACCACTAACTCTGTTTTCCTAATGAAGTCTGTTCTTGCTCTGTTTCTTTATTAGCTGTTTGTCCTTAGCATATTTCCAGAGACTTTCGATGGCTCTTTTATTATTGATAATTTTCACTAGTTTTAACTGAGAGTAAGGCAATAATGTTGGAAATGGGTCTCTTCACAGCTGTAGTCATTGCTATTACTATGTGTTGGAGACCCAGCTCTTCTCAGGAAGTTGATATGACTTGAGGCAAGGCCTTCAAACATTCAGGATTTTAGGAACCATCCTATGTCATATCAGCTGCTAAGAATAACACGATCTTGAAAACAAAATTGAATGAATGGTAGGTTCCTAGCTTAACCTCCTACTAGGTGTAAAGACTTGCAGAACAATTACCTTGGATAACAAGGAAAACTATGATTGACTCTGATTTTGTAATTTGACTATAGAGAGAGAAGAATTCTGGGAGCAAATGTGTGATTTCCATGCATTCCAGGACCACAACCACCATAGAAGACCCTAAGAATCCAGGGCATGTGAAGACATTTACTTTTGACCTGGCATATTGGTCTCACAATGGATTTCAAAAGGATAAAGATGGTGTCCTTATTTCAGCTGATCCTACTAGTAAATTTGCAAGCCAGGTAAATTGTTTTGAAACAATTTCAACAGCAAGTTCTTTTTTTTTTTTTTTTTGGTATTTTATTTTGCTTTGTTTTGTGATGTACTTTACACTGTGAGCACTTCAGTAATTTCATGCAGGTACATGTAAATAATTCCATATGAGAGTTTTATCTTAAATTTATTCCTTTTTTCTAAGATGAGTGTGAGGCCCAAAATGCAGCTTCTGTCCAAATAATTTTTAGACATTCAACTTAGTTGCCATGGCAATTGTGGGTATACCTTGAAAATGTTAAGCCAGTCAAATTAATTATATTTTGTCTCCCTGATCTATACAAAATAAGGAAAATTTATGAGACGCTCAGCATCTAAGAACTTGTATTTTATTGGACGTGTATTATGTGCTATAAATTATTGTGTCTTAAAGTTTCTTACAATTTTGTTTCTGGAGACAGACAAGTATGTGCCTTTGAATGTTGAGGGGTATATGAGAATAGTGTGTGTGGGATTCAACAGGGTACAAAGGAGAAGCGGTCATTTCAGTCTGGTCAGAGGATATTTTGGGGGCCATTTATTAAAAGGTATAATGCTTGGGTTTTTTGTTTTTTTTCCGGTACCTGGAACTGAACTCACGACCTTGCACTTGCCAGGCAGGCGCTGTGTCGCTGAGCTAAATCCCCAGCCCCAAAAGGTATAATGCTTGGACTATTAGGTAAAGACAAATAGGTACGTGAGAGGAACAGACAGAAAAAATTAAGGGAGAGAAGATGAACAGAACCTCAGTGGCCTCTGGAGGCTCTCTCACGCACTTCTGCAGTTGAAGTCATGGAAAGAGTAAGAGTAAGTAGACAAAAATAGTTGAAGAAATGATGACTAAGTTTTTTCCAAATTTGATGGAAACTATAAACCCACAGGCTTAATGAGTCCTAAGAAGAGTAAACACAGAGAAACTTAATGAGTCCTGTTTTAATTATATTGCTGTAATCCAGAGATTATAAGAAAATCTTCAAAATGACAAAGGAAAGAACACAGAGTAACACAAGTGACAGCAGACCTCAGAAGGGTCCAAGCCGGAAGACAACGCAGTCCACTACGCCACCTAGAATTCTATGCACAGCAGAAATGATGTTTTCATAACAGTATAAAATAACATTTTTTTGTGGAAAAAATCCAAGCCCATCCTGAAAGGAATGACATTGGTTTACACTTCTTTCTGAATCTCCGTAAGGTCTGACTTCTCACCCTTCGTGGAGTGTTGTATCCCGTTGTGTGTCATGCAGCCTCTGACAAACGCCATTATCCACCTCCCACGCAGTCATGCATGAGAGGGGAAAAGGCAAACATTAATATGACCACAAAACTCCCAGCTCTCAAAGCCCCTGAAAGGACCTCATGAACATCGGGATATTCTCTGACACCTTTCAGCAATCAAGAAAAAATAAAGCAGAGGGGTAACTCACTAATGAACCACGTGTGGCAAAATAGAATTATAAAATTCTCAATCCAACACACAGCAGGAAACAAAAGAGATAAGTAGAATGAGATAAGTAGAATACAAATCATGTCAGATTTAATGCTATGTTAAATATTATATTAAATATAAATAGTCAAAATATGCCAGTTAAGTGGTACTGTCAGATCAGATAGAAAAAGCAGGGGGCCGGGGATATTGCCCAGTGGCACAAGCCTGGCAAGTGCAAGGTCCTGAGTTCAATTCCCGGTACAAAAAAAAAAAAGAAAAAGCAGGCTCCAAACATATCTGCCTATATGAAACCTGATTTAAATATAAAGGAAGATATAGATATATGTCGTAAAAATACTAAGAAAAAGAAAACTAGATAGGGCACATTTACATCACACAAAGGAGACTTCAGAACAATGAAGAGCAATCTCTTTAAGAAAATACAACCATACTACATGGATATGCACCTAACAACTGAAATTCAAAGTCCATGAAGTCAGAACCAGTAGAAGTGGAAGGAAGTATAAACAAGTCTATTATAATGTCTTGTGATTTCAACACTCCTATCTTAGTAACTAATTTTAAAAAATCAATAATTTTATAGAAGACGGAGAAAATGCTATTCACCTAGTTGATAATCTCTTATAGAACACTCAGTCACAGGACTACGCATTCTTTTTAAGTGCAAATAGATGTATTCATCTTCATGATAATAGACCATATTCCAGATCATAAAACTAGTCTGAATAAACATAAAATGATTGAATCGTGTTATTCTCTGACCACAATGTAATTAAGACAGAAGGAAATAAGAGGAAGGTGTTTGGAAAGTGACAGACTTCTAAATCATTGATAGTACACGCAGGAAATCACCAGGGAAATTGCCACTGTTCAACTGTGTTCCCCCGCGCTCTTGTGGGGCAACTTTATTCCCGGTGGGACAGTGCTGAGGTGCGAAGTCCTGCATGCCAGTTAGGGGATCTGTGCCACTGTCGTGGGCGCGGGTTCCTTAGAAGGGTGAGCTGGGTCCACTTTCCTTTTCTTTCTGTCATTCCCCCGCCCTCTCCCCTTCCACCAAGGAGGCCTCTCCGATGCTGCTGGCCCACTGAGCATGCGCTTCCCAGCCTCCAGACGTGTGAGGCAACACGTTTCTGTCCATTAATTTTCCAGTCTGCGGGGTTCTATTATAGCATCACACAACAAACTCAGACAGAAATTAAAAAATATTTTCAACTGAACGAAAATCACAACACCTAGCAAAATTTGTGGGACGGACCTGAAGCAGGTCTTAGAGGAGACTGCACTTACATTAGAGAAAAATAATCTCAACTCCATATTATAAGCTTCTTCCTAAAATTTTGGGAAAAGAGAAGAAATTAAACAAGTGAAGCAGAAGAATCAAAAATAATAGCAGTAAGAATTAATTCAACATGGAGTATAAAGCAATGGAGAAAAATTATTGAAACCAAAATCTGTTTCTTGGAAAAGATAAATAAAATTGATAAACGCCTAGCAAAATTGATTCAAGAAAAAAGGATATAAAATATAAAGATCAGAAATGGAGACGTTACTATAGCTATTTATAGGATAATTGGAGAATATTAGTGCTAATATGTTCATCAGTACAGTGAACATGTGCTACTGAAGTTCACTCAAAGAAATGGACATCTCATGCAGCCCTATATCCATCAAAGAAATTAAAATTGTAATTAAAAACCTCACAGAGAAGACTATAGGCTTAGATGCCTTCTCTGGTGCATTCTTCCAGAGGAAGAAGTAATGAGATTTGTTTTTAAAAACCTTTTACACGACAAAAGTAACACTTCCCATCAAATTCTTTTGAGGCCAGTACTGTCTTATACCAAAAATAGCCAAACATATTACAAAAATATGATAGGCCAATACCTTTTCTGTACATAGGCACAAATATTAATAAGATAATTTTAGTAAACAATTGAAAAATATATTTTTAAATGGCAGTTTTTTCTAGGAATATAAGACTGACTTAACCTTTGAAAGTTAATGTAATTCATCTCCAAATCAGAATATAGGAGACAAATATATGTTACTGACTGTAGAAAAATCACTTTACCAAATTTAACACCCAAGTATAATTTTAGAAACTGTCAGCAATCTTGAACTAAAAAGGAAATAGAACTTTGAAAAATACGAGTTAGAGCACATTTGCTGGAGATATATTATGTTCTCCCTATGACTGGGAACAAAGAAAGGTTATACATTCTTTTCATTTCTAGATGATATTTACTACAAATCCCAGCCAAGGCAAGTTATCACAGTCAGTAAGTGTGCTTAAAAATTAATATATATCCTCCAGGTATGGTGGTGCATGTTTGTAACCCCAGAACTTGGGAGGCTGAGGCAGGAAGATCGCCATGAGTTTGAGGCCAGCCTGAGATACATAGTGAGTTCAAAGCCAGCCTGAACTATGTAGTGAGATGCTGTTTCAAAAAACAAACAAGAAAAAGTTAATGCACACACAAAAAATCAATAGTATTTGTCTATGTGAGCAATAAACAAATGAAAATTGAAATTTTTAAACATTTCCAGTTGTATCAAAAGTGTGAAATTTTTAAGGATAAATTTAGCAAAATGTGTGCAAAAACTGTACAGTGGATACTTACAAACATTAGTGAAACTAGGATGTAAAGGAATCCAAAGGTCTACATTTTTAGGAAGTTCAATTAATCAATAGATTGAAAACAATCCCAATCAAAATAGCAGCAGGCAGTTTTTATAGAAATTGACGTTAGCTATTTCAATAACTTACATGGAACTGAAAAGGATTTAGAATAGCCAAAATTATTTTGCAAGAGAATTAAGTATGAGAAGTTAAAACCCTCTATAAAATTATGTAACCAAGATAGGACGGTATTAGCTTTAAGGTTGACATTTAGATCAGTGAAACAGAACAGTGTCCAGAAATAGACTCCCTCTTGTTTTCCCGGTTCTGGGGATCTAACTTAGGACCTTTTTTCTGAGTTACATCCTCAGATTTTTTTTTTAATGTTTTATTTTGAGACAGGGTCTTGCTAAATCACCCAGTTGTCTAGGGTAGGCTCAAACTTGTGATTCTCCGGCCTCAGCCTCCCAAAGTGCTGAGATTATGGATGTGTGCCACCATGTCTGGCTCTGATTTTCTTTTTTTTTGCACTTTTTTTGAGACAGGGTCTCACTATGCAGTTCAGGCTGGCCTTGAGCTCACTTTGTAGCCCAGGCTGGTCTCAAACTCACAGTGATCCTCCTGACTCATTCTCCCAAGTGCTGGGATTATAGGTGTGTGCCACCACGCCCAGCCCTGGCTCTGATTTTCTACAAGGGTGCTTTAATGGGTCAGATAGTGTCCCCATCACCACCAAAATTCACGTCCACTTAGAACTCAGAACATGACATTAACTGAAAACAGGATCTTTGCAGATATAAATAGTTAAGATGAGGCCATACTAGATTAAGATGTGTGCTAAATCCAATCTTTACAAGAAGAGGGACAGTTGGACTTTCAGGCACAGAGACAGCCCCATGTTGACACTGGACAAAGCAATTAGACAGGTGCCACTGTGATGCCAGGACTGCTGGGCGCTGCCCTCAGCCGGGAAGAGGTGAGGGAGAGTTCTTCCCTAGAGCCCTCAGAGAGACCAGGGCCTTACCAGCATCTTGAGTTTAGACTCTCGTCTCTAGAACTGTAAGAGAAGCATTTCTGCCGTTTTTAGGCATCCAGTTTATAATATAATCACATTTAATATAAGCCATTTCAGTGAATGATGGGCCACATATAGGGCAAAAGTTGCAAAAGATTTTAATGGAGCTGAAAAATTCCTATTGCGTAGGGAGGTCCTAGCTGTCCCAGTGTCCTAGGGTAACGCATTACTCATGTTTCTGTGATGATGATGATGGCTACAAGAAGAAAAGCCTGTGCTGCTAGTCATATAAATGTATAGCAATATAATTACGTACAATATATAACCCTTGATAAATTATACTAAGTGACTGTTATTGCTTTACATATTTACTATATTATACCTGATCATCTTTTTGTTTTTTTTTTTTAAGACAGGGTCTCACTATGTAGTTCAGGCTGGCCTTGAACTCACTATGTGGCCCAGGCTGGCCTCAAACTCACTATGATCCTCCTGCCTCAGCTTCCCAAGTGCTGGATTATAGGCATGCACCACCATGCTCAACTTTTTTGTCATTATTTTAGAGTGCGGGATCAAACCCAGGGCCTCACCCTGGCAAGTGCCCTACCATGCCCCAAGCCTCAAACTCCTCCTCTTGAAGTTTCTACCACCCCCCAAAACACAGTGGGACCAAGCCTTTTAACACAAAATCTGAGCTACAGCAGTCCATATGGATATAGACATGCATTGGAGAGATGCTTCAGAACCACTAGATCTGACAAAAAAAGAAGAGAGCTCACCCAGAGTGGGCTAAAATGAGTGCTGGTATTTTGTGCTATGATTGTTTTGGTTAAGAATTAAGAAGTAGAAAATGCTTTGACAGGTCTCAGTGCTTTGATTTTTTTTTTTTGCTAGTTGCTTAATTTTAAAGACCCAGCCATGTTTTGTTAAGGCTATAAATAGACAAATTCACTACTGATGGATATGAGGCAGCTCAGGGTGCACCTGATGTGGGCTGTGGATGTGAACGAGTTGGCCTTTCTTTTATTTATTTATTTTTTTTTTATTTTTTGGTTTTTCTCCGGTACCGGGAACCGAACTCATGACCTTGCGCTTGCCAGGCAGGCGCTTTGCCGCTGAGCTAAATTCCCAGCCCCTGAGTTGGCCTTTCTAATTGGCAAATCCCTTTTTGGTTTTCAGTTTTATCCCAGTTTTATCATCTGGGTTGTGCTTTGATTGGGTTGTGTGATACTAGTTAAGGTGGAGTTTATTAAAGCCACAATATTTGTTAGACTTCAAGGGTACTGTGAGAAGTAAGGGAGCATAAGGATACATGCCACTGGCTTTGCTGGCTATGACCCCTGTCATTGTCTTTCCAGAGAGATGTTTTCCATGACATTGGGAGGGGGATTCTGGACTGTGCATGGCAAGGCTACAATGCTACTCTCCTGGCCTACGGACAGACTGGTGCCGGAAAGAGCTACTCCATGATTGGGTTTGGTGCAGACAAGGGTATAATTCCAAGTGTGTGTGAAGAGCTCTTTCGAGCAATTGAGAAGCAGGAGAGAAATCAAGAATATCAGGTAGGCATTATTCTAAAATCTCTTCTTTGACATGTTTTTCATTTTGAGGCCCTTCCCCAAATGGAAGTTTTCAGCACTTTCTACTTCAGGTTTTGATGTCATTTTTAGATTTGAGTTTTTATCCCCCTATACTGACTATTGTAAGGCCTCAGGCATGCTAAGCATACACTCTACCACTGAACTACACCCCTCAACCTCTGTGTTAATTTTCCATACCAAAACATTTGTATGTTTACAAAGCATGTTTTAGGCAAAGATGTTGAATTTGTCAAGTTCTATAGAGGCAAACCCAAGGACATTTTTAGTGTTATCTTTTCAGTGCCAGGGATGAAATCCAAGGCCTTGCACATGTGAGGCCAGTGCTCTGCCACTGAACTACACCCCAGGCCTGAGGATACAGCTTTAAAAGTCACTTTAGGTGTCATAGGAACAGGCCATTGAATTGCTGACACTAATAAGGAGTTATTCTTGAAGTCATAACACAAACCTCACCTAACCAAAGTTTATGGATTCCTTTGCTGCCTTCTTCTACCACAGTGGTTGACGCATTCTCATCTAAATTTATTTGTTTTATTTCTAAATGAAGAATGTTAGTGGATTAGCTTTTTGTTTTGGGTGCTGGGAATTGAACCCAGGACCTTATTCATGGTAAACCCACATTCTACTACTGAGCTACACCAAGGCTTTAAGAATAGTAGTTTTTTCTTATTTGTCCTACTATAATTTCTTTTCTTTTTTTTTTTTTTTTTGTTTGTTTTTTCTTCCAGTACTAGGAATCGAACTTAGGACCTTGCATTTACCAGGCAGGTGCTGTGCTGCTGAGCTAAATCCCCAGCCCCTACCTACTATAATTTCTTATTTGCTCTGGCACAGATGATTCAAGATTCAATTTTAGATCCAGGGAAGGTTTGTGGTATTGTCAAATGGCTAATGTAACCATTAACATGATTAGCCTGAAATATGACAATAATATGACAATACCTGTAAGCATAGTATCTCAATGGCAGAAGAAATTAAATTGGTATCATGAAAATTCAAAAGTGCATTCTCATTTTTCATCTTATTTTTCTGATTTTTTTTTTTTTTTGGCATTTTAAGACAAGATCTCTCTATGCAGCCTTAACTGGCCTTGAACTTGTAGTTCTTCTGCATTAGCCTCCCAAGTGTTGGGATTTTCTGATTTTAAAAGGAATGTGTTTAAATTATAGCATAGAAATTACTCATAATCTCATCACCCAACTAAACACCTGTTCTCCCCCCTCCAAGACTGAATCTCAGGCCTTTGCATTGAGCTATATCTTCATTCCTTTTTAATTTTTTATGTTTTATTTTAATGCAGGGTCTCACTAAATTGCTAAATTTCCCAGGTCAGGTTTGAACTTGTGAGCCTCCTGCCTCAGCTTCCCAGAGTGCTGGGATTTCAGATGTGTGCCATTATGCCCCGTTTCTTAAATTTTTTAACACAGTGTCTTGCTAAGTCAATTTGAGCTGGGCTTGAAGTCACTATGTAGCCTAGGCTGGCCTTGAATTCATGGTAATCTTTCTGTCTCAGTCTCCCAAGTGGTGGGATTACAGGTGTGTGCCACCGCACCTGGCAGGCTTCTTGTATTTTTAATTTAAAAGTTTTTAGTGTAATACAAGTGCAGTTTAAGAACTCAAATACTCAAGAGAAAGGAAAACATATGTCCACATAAAAACTTATACATGAGTAGTCCACAGAAGCATAGTCACAAAAGCCAACAAGTACAACCCAAATGTCCATCTGATGATGAATAACAAATAGAGTGTGGTATATCCATATAGTGGAATATTATTCAGCCTTAAAAAGGAATGGAACTTTAGCACCCATTACAGGGACACAGCTTGGAAATATTATGCTAAGGGAAAAAAGCCAGACACACAAGGTCATGTGTTACTTGATTGTATTTTTATGAAATGGTCAGAAACAGAGTCTATTTAGGTAGAAAGATTAGGGCTGGGGAGTGGAGAGGAGACTTTAGAGCATGGGGAGTGGCCTCTAATGGGTTTCTTTGCAGAGGGCAATATTTTCTCAGCATGCACTGAGGTGATGCTTGCACAGCTTTGTGAACAAACCACCCCTCAGTATCCATGGGGATATGTTCCAAGACCACCATCACCACCGCCTGCATGGGTACCCAGATCTGTGGAGCTTCAGTCTCTTATTTCAGTAGCATCTATTTCATAGAATCTATGTACATCCTCCCACATATTTTAAATCGTGCCTCAATTACTTACAGTAACACAATACAATGTAAATGTTGTGCTGCCCGGGCTAGGGAATAATGCAAGGGAAGAAGTCTGTCCGTGTTCAGGACAGATGCAGTTTCTTCCAACTATTTTTGACCCATAGTTGATTTGACCCACAGACCTGTGGGTTTGCACTGCCGTATGGATCCTAAACTCCACTGAATCATAACTTTAAGTGGGTGAACGGTACACAGATATTTCAATAAAGCTGTTTTAAAATCCACTCAAACAGTACTGAAAGCCTCATCTCATGGAAAACACCAGCTTCTTGCCATCCCTTTCTTCTTCCCATTTTTCCTAGTTCCCATCTCCAGCTCCTTAGCTATATGCCCTCTGTCTAGCTCCATATTTAAATATAGCATTGTCCTTTCTCCTCTTAAAAAGCCTTTGTGGATAGTGTAGATCATCTTTCCAACATAGTAGAAGACAATTTAACTCTGCCACACCCACAGCTCCCACCATGATCCTTTTTCTCTCACCACTCTTGCATAGTTAAATTATAAAAATTTTTTATTACAAATCTACACAGTAAGTTTCCAACTTAGGAATATTTGGGTTGTGCTAGGATGTGCAAAGCAATAACCATGGAAACAAAAGTGAACATAATTGAGAGATTGGACCAAGGCAAAAAGATGGTATACATTGCTTGTTCTTATAACATGAATTGTTCAACCACTGGCACAATTCTGAAGAACAAGGACAAGATCATGGGACATGTGGGGTCTGCTGTGCAGTGAAGTCACTGTGTCAGACTTATACACAAGTCTGAGTTAAAAACATTCTCCCAGCATGGGACTCATTTGTAAGTTGGGGGCTTACTGTAGTAATTAATACTTTAAATTTATGGTGATTTCTATCTGTGCAAATATTGTTTACTGCTGAACCAAGTAATGCATATATCCTTTGTGTTCTTTGTTTTTCTTGGAGTTTTTAGTTGCCTTTGACTTTTGTGTTATACCTATCTTTTATAAGCCTGTTTCCTAAATGCTCTAAATCCCTGTCATATGCTCTTTAGTAATGTTTTCTATACTCTCAATCACATCAGTTTCCTTAATTCCATTGGTTCTCTCCATTTTTCTTGAGAAGGAGGGTTGTATTCTTCTTCTATGGTCTCAAGCAGTGTTTCCCCAGGTTTCTTGCAAATGCAATTCTGGAACTTTACTTCAGCATCATTCTTTTTTCCCTTCTGGCTCTTAGATATAATATATTCCTATTTTTGGCTTATTCTCTCCTTTTGCTGCAATTTTCCCAGAAAAGGTACATCTGTCGTATATTTGTTTGCATCCTCAGTGCAGCAGAAATATCTTTTCTTACCATCACACTTGCAGTGTTCCCAAAACAGAATTGTAGCTCTTTCATACTGAACTTCTTTCCATTATCTTTTAAATTCCAATGTTACAGCTGAGAAGTCTGGTGCCACTCTGATTCCCACTTTCTATGTGTGATTTTTTTTGTGATCACTCTCTTCAGTAGTTTTTAGGATATCCTCTTTTTTTCTTGATGTCCTCGTGTGTCTTTTCTCATTCATCATACTGGACACTCAGGGGGCCCTTTACAATGTGGAGATTCCTGTCCTCCGATTCTAGGAAACTTTTCAAGTATTGCTTCTCTTACCATTTTCTCCCCTCTGTTTCTTTTGTTTTTCATTTCTGGAAATTCTAATTGGATTGTGAACCTCATGTCTTGGAATTTTATTATCTTTTAGCACCTAATTTTCATTTCTTGGTCTTTTTGTTCTGCATTCTGAAAGATCCCCTCAACTCTATTCTTTTACATTTTTATCTTGGCTGTCATTCATAAATTTAATTTACAAATACTCTTGCTTATTCTCTGTCTTTTTAAAAATAAAATCATTTTTGTGGATTGTCTCTTTGAAGCTATTAATTGTAGCACTTTAAAAAATGTTGTCTACACATTGCCAGTGTTCTGAGTTCCTCTTTTCTACATGTTTGTTTTGATCTCTATCATATTAGAGACTTTCCTTGTCTGCTACCTTTGGCCATTTGGCCGGTTTTACATGAAACACTCTGAAGCTGGTTGGAAGCTCAGTGGCAATGAGAGCTGATTGGCAAACTTACCACAGGGCAACCTGCAGACAAGCTGGCTTTTCCGTGGGTGCAGGGTAGCAGATTTCAGACCTCTTTTTCTGAACTAAAAACACTCAGATTTTCCCAGTTCTGCTTAAGAGGTACCAGCAAGGCTAGCAATAGTCCAGAACCATGAGAGGATAAAGAACAATCTTTCCCTCTACATCTCGTCAGAACGAGGGTGAGCAGTTGAGACTGAAGCACCTATACATACTGTTCCATGTCTGTTTTAAATTTATATCGAGAACTTCTCCAATGTCATTAAAAGTACTTGAGAACCCATTGCCTGTTGAAATAGGGCTTCACTATATTTGATATAAGCTTTTCTGTTTGTTGGACATTTCTGTTGTTTCCATGTCATGTTTTCCCCTTTTAACAGAGTATTTACTTGTACTGTTCTCTATGCAGGTTACATTCAGTATGCTGGAGATTTACAATGAACAGGTAACAGAGATTACCTTTTTTCTCTCTCTTTTTTTTTTTAGGGGTGAGGGGGCAGAGTTGAGGATCAACTCCAGGGCCTTGCACCTGCTAAGCATGCGCTTAACCTTCAACTTATGCTTCTAGCATTAGAGATTATATTTTCTGACAAACCCAAGTGAATTTCTGCATCCTAATAACCACCAGGAATTCCTCATCCTTCAGATAAGCGCTTTATCCTGGAACTGTCTCTCCAGCTCATGTTAGGTCCTTCTATGTTCAGCCACCTCAGTGGCATGTATGGTTTTCCTCCTTCCACTCCATCTTTCATTCCTTCCTTTCTTTCTTGTTGGCAGTGCTGGAAGTAGAACTCAGGGCTTAACACATGCTAGGCAGTGCTCTACTATGGAGCTGCACCTCTAGGCCTTTTAAATTTTTTTTATTTTGAGACAAGGTCTCACTAACTCACTAAGTTGTCCAGGCTGGGCTGAAACATGTGACCCTCCTGCCTCAACCTCCCAGAATGCTAAAATAGGGCAGTTATCTGACTATAGCCATGCTCTGCTCCTCACTGGACAAGCTGAGACAAGGATGGCTGTGTCCTGACCTCTCCTGGGCTGGGGTAGAACTTGTGTGGACCGCAGCTACCTCTGGCTTGCTTGAATGTGCTGCTTGCTTTATGCTTCCTCACTGTCACTGCACAGCGAGATACTTTCTCTTCCCTTGGGCTGACTCTTCTCCATTGCTGAGTCACATAAATGTTCCTTCCATTCTGCTGTCTCCCCACTTTCCCGAGCCAGAGTTTCTAAAGTCAGACAACTGTGGATACTGAGAATCTTGTCCCCTCCGTGCTCAGTCTTGATTATGGTCAGCCAGCTCTTTGGGGTGCTCCTGGCAGCATTCCCTGAGTGCTATGTGTTAGGGTCTGTGTGGACAACGATGACCTTTGCTTAGGAATTTGCAGTTTCATTGAAGTACTTAAAAATAATAAGCCATTTCTAAAGTCTTCTAAATTAATTTTTAAAATTAGGCTTCTGGTTGCACTAGTTACAACTGATTTTCCTTATCTTCTTGATTAACCATTTCCCTGTTTCTTACTTAGTTCATTTATGAGGTTGTCTGGTAGCTACAGAAATTCTTTATTTTATTTTATTTTATTTTTGTCTTTTTGAGACAGGGTCTTGCTATGCAGTTAGGCTGGCCTTGAGCTCACTTTGTAACCAAGGCTGGTCTCAAACTTGCAACGATCCTCCTGCCTCAACCTCTCCAGTGCTGGGATTACAAGCATGCACCACCACGCCCGGCAGCCAGAAATTTAGTATTTACTCATTCATCCAGTAAATATTTTGAACACTTATTATATTGTAGGCAGAGATAGAGCAGTAAAGTTTTCTTGAAATTTACATTGTTTCTTCTTTTCTACAGATAAGGGATTTGCTCTCTAGGACCAAAAAGCCCGGGGGGTTAAAAGTCAGGGAAGATCAGCACCTGGGCTTTTACGTGGAAGGCCTGAAGTCTGTGCCTTGTGAGAACTACGCACAAATTGAAAAGCTGATGGAACAAGGAACAAGAATCAGGACCACGGCATCAACCAACATGAACGCCAGCAGCAGCCGCTCCCACATGGTCACCACCATTCGGTTCAAGCAGGCGAGTGCAGTGACTGCCCTAGTCTCGTCTCTCCGTAGGAGCGCCCTCTGCCAAGGTTCCCAGTGGCATCATGTGATGGGGGTTATAGAATCCTTCCAGATCTGACCTGTGGGTTAAGGTGGCCATTTCTAAACTGTAAGGTCAGAAACAAGGAAAAGTGAGGTATCTGCTCCTCACCCCCACCAACATCCATGGCCCGTCCTGGCCTAAGTTAGTCCATTACAGATAGTGAGGTAATCCTACAATCTACCAGACCCCCAAAATGCCCATAGTTGGCTGTTTTCCCTCAAGTAAAGTCCATGCTCTGAGGAAAAAATTTTGATCCTACATTGACCCGGGAGTAAACTGTGAAAATTTTAGAGTGACTCCCTGGTTTATCTTGAAGAATTATGTTAGAAACAGATCCATGTATCCCCAGTACGAGTCCAAGCTTTCAGAGCCTTGTGCCTTGGGCCCCACAAGATACTGCAGTACCTTTTTGACCAATACCAAGATAAATTCCTTGGAACCAAGTAAGCCATTAAGTAAACTAACACTCTACTAAGTGTTTGGAACAAACATTCCACTAAGTAAAATCTTTGGTAAACTAGAGTGGACTTTTCTCCTCCACATTCCTCGGTGAGTATCAGGGAATGATCTACACAGTAGTCTCAGTTTGATCTAGAAGTGATTATTCCAAATTCTGGGTGAACATACAGCTAGCAATGAGTGTACCACCTCAGTCCTCCAAGTTACAGTACCAGCAATAAATAAAATGGTAATCAGTGAAAATTACCTTGCACTCACCAGGGATAATGAACAAATACTGGACTATGTCCCACTCTCACTTAACAGTTCTAAGACCTTTGAGAAATAACTTAGTCTCTGACTTTGGTTTCCTGTTCTGTAAAATGGGATGAAGAGTTTCTACCCAGGAAAGTGTGGAGGTTTAATTGAGATACTGCACTTTAAGGAATTTTGTAAACTTATAAGTGCTATTCACTTGCCTTTACAATGTTAGTAAATGGCATAAACTTTATATATGGGGAAACTATATGAGGGCCAGGCCTCTTAGCACTTGCCTGTAACCCCAGCTACTCAGAGGTGCAGGCAGGAGGATGGCAAGTTTGAGGCCAGCCTAGGCAAATAAGTGAGACCCTGCCTTTAAAAAAAAAAAATTAAAAAGAGCTGGAGATGTGGCTAAGCTCTAGAGCACCTGCCTAGCATGTTCAAGGCCCTGGGCTCAAGCCTCACTACCAAAAAGCAAACTATCAAAAAACACATATATATATATGGTTTTTAACTTCTTATTTTAGGGGCAAGGAAAGAAATCAGCTGAATATTCAGCACCATGCTGCCACACTCTTTAGTGGCATCAGCAGAACACCTCACACTGCATGCCAGGCATGTGTGAGATCCATTGCATCTATTACCTTGGACCCCACTCCCCACATGTCAATAATGTAGTACTGTTACCATTCTTCAGCTGAGAGCTGACACACAGAACAGTTCAGTAGCCTGCAAGACAGCCTGTAGAATTCTAAAATTTATGTTCATTTTACCACAGGGGTATGCAACCCTGAATGGTTACTTATTTTGCAGATTTCACATGACAGCGTGTATTTTTGGAGTTTATTGATGAGAGATGTACCAGAACTATCACTGGTATCCAATGATGCTTACAAAAGAGCTTTGCAGAAATGGAAAGGGACAGTGAGGCTGTTGGGCCTGGTCATACAGTACCGTAAGATGCCGTTATAAAGAGGATTTCAAATGAGAAACTTTTTCTGTTTGAACTACAGTTAGAAGAACTACGTAAGCATGTAGAGTAGGTTGACTTCTGACGCAGCACACAGCACTTTAATAGACCACCTGGGTGGATTTTTACAGGTTTTTCTAGACAGAGCTCTTACCAAGCAATCCAGCATCAATTTGGTGGATTTAGCAGGAAGTGAAAGACAGAAATCTTCAGGATCTGAAGGAGATAGACTGAGGGAAGGATCACGAGTTAACTTGAGTTTAACCACTTTAGGAAATGTTATCAGGTATGTAATCGGTGGACAGGCACTAATTATTTCTTGGTTGCACACAGTGGTGCCCACCTCTAATCCCAGCTCAGAAGACTGAGGCAGGAGGATCTCAAATTTAAGACCAGCTTGGGTGGTTTAGCAAGACCCTGCTCAAAACAAACAATTAGTTGCTATGAAGTTCATGTAATTCAGCTGACCTTGAACTTGTGGCCATCCTCCTGCCTCAGCCTCCCAAATGCTGGGATTACAAGCATGAGCTCGGACATGAGGCATAATCTTTTTTTCGTCAGCTACTTTAAGCTGTTTTTGGTATTCTCTGATTTTGCCATCATTGTCTTCATTGAGCCTCCTGGGACTTCACAGCTCTGTGTGTGATTTCCATCAGTTCTGGAAAATTCTCAGTATTATATTTCACATATCACCTCCATCCGTGTCCTTTCTTCTTTTCCCTTCTGGGAGCTTCATTGGACTATTTGGGTCTTCTCGCTCTTTCTTCCCTGTTTCTTACCCTTCCTGTCTTATTTCCCATTGCTGTGGCCCTGGGCTGCCACCCAGATAATTTCTTCTGAACTAATTCACTAATTCCAACTACCCCAGTGTCTAATCTCCTGTTAATCCTAACCATGGTGTTTTTTCATTTTTGTTCTTCTTTTCTAAAAGATCACCATCTTTGTTTTCCAATAAATTGTCTTAATTTTATAAATTTCTTTTTCCCTTCTTGTATTTATAATTTCTTACAAATGAGATTTCCTTTTTTCTTTATTCCTTCAATGCCAGCACTGCCTTTTGCTTTGCTTTGCTTTGCTTTGCTTTGCTTTGCTTTGCTTTGCTTTGCTTTGCTTTGTTTAGCATTGTTTTGTCTGAGGTGGGGTCTTGCTATGTGGTCCAGGCTGACCCCAAACTCCTGGGGTTCAAGTGATCCTCCTGCCTCACCCTCCCAAGCAGCTGGGGCTACAGGTGTGGTCGCCTCACCAAGGCCCACACTGCCTTCTTTGCAGTCCCCTGGAGCAGGGTGGCAACGTTTCATCCCCTCTCCTATTAAGGAAGTATGCACAAAAGACAAGAAAAAGACTTCCTGCCACTCCTGGATCCTGTCTTCACACTACCAGTCCTGCACAAATTAACGTGGCAGCCCCTTCATGGTTTTGTGTGTTAGCTTCTTGGTCCCAGCTTCCCTCTCTGTTCTTTGATTTCTCCAGCACTCCCAGAGAGGGAGTGGCAGCCCGTCCTCTCTTGCTCTGGCATCTCTGCAGGAAGTGTCCCTGCTCTTCTGTGGTATTATCGGGTTTACAGGGGCCAAACAGGATTTATGGGGTGTTCCTGAGTGACCCCCAGGGAGGCAGGTTTCTTCCTGATGCCCTCTTCTCAGCTACTATTTGCTTTCTTTCCATCCAGTGCTCTGGCTGACGCTGCGCTGAGGAAGAAAGTCCCGCACATTCCCTACCGAGACTCTGTCCTGACCAAACTGCTCCAGTCAGCGCTGGGTGGGAACAGCAGAACTACTTTGGTAAAAACAATTTCTTACCACATTTTACACTGACTTAGTCATCATGGCTACTGATATTGTCACTGTGATTAAAGTTCTTCTCAGTTCACCCATAACAGCACTTCGAAGTGACCTGCTGCGCATGTACCTCCTCGCACGTTACCTCGCACCCCCTGGTGCCTTTTCTTCTAGTGTTCAAGTGAAGCTTTCTATTTCTAACTCTAATTGTTAATTTATTCTTTTCTGTAATTTTCAGGAACATCTATTATGTTTTGTTTTTGCAGTGCTGGGGATAGAACCCAGGGTCTGGTGCGTGCTAGGCTACACCCGAGCCTGGAACATATATTACTTTCACTACCAGAAAAAACTAATAATTTAGTACCTACCCCTGGCATTGTCGTGCTAGTCTCAACCGGCAGTCACTTCGTGGCGAGGTTGGAGATCAGTTCTGTACGAAGCAGAAGCACCAGCTGGAGAATCACTGAGTTTGTCATCTCAGCAAAACTCTAGGCCGTCAGCACGGAGTGCCTGCCCTGTCCACGGAGTGCGTGGACTGAGTTAAAATGAGGGCTCTGCACCAGCTGCAGAGAGGGACAAACCCAGGCAAACTCTGCATCCTAGGGAAGAGAAAAAACGCCCTCTCCTGGTACTTGGGAGGCCTCCTCTCTCCACAACTTCACAGTATAACACTTCCTTCATCTCTTAATCTTGCTTATTTTAAAAACTTTGAAAGTTATTGGTTTATCAGTTACCCGTGGGGGGTCCTTCGACCACCCCTCAAGAACGGGAAATAAAACTGTGCCCAAGGGGCTGGGGGTTTAGCTCAGCAGCACAGTGCCTGACCCGAAAGTGCAAGGTCATGAGTTCGATCCCTGGTACCGGAAAAAAACTAAAAAAAAAAAAAAAAAACTGTGCCCATAAGGGCTGGGATGTAGCACTCTGATACAGCCCTGGCCTAGCATGCCTGGAGGCCTGAGATCACCCTGGCACTGCGCACCCAGCAGCAGCAGCAGCAGCAGCACGAGGCCCACACCACACCCTCTGATTATCGAACCGGTCTAAGTAGGTGTGCACAAAGTCACCGGAGACTGTGAGCCCAGCAGGGCAACGTCTGGGCGGGCACATCGGCAAGATTACACCTGCAAGACTGGAAAGGGCTGACTAAAAGCGTTAGTGTATTTTTACATTTTGGTTTTTTTTTGGTTTTTCTCTGGTACCGGGAACTGAACTCACGACCTTGTGCTTGCCAGGCAGGCACTTTTGCCGCTGAGCTAAATCCCCAGCCCCGCGTTAGTGTATTTTTAATTATTGTTGTTTTTGTTTGAGGTTTTAAGTGCTGGGGATTGAAGGAAGGACCTTGTATAGACTAAACACGTGCTGTATCACCGAGCTGCACTCCAGCCCCCATTACAATGATTTAACAAAGAAGGTTAGGGGGAGGAGGAGAGAGGTGATCACTGATCATCTCAGGAAGCAAATAAAACGGGGATTCTGCAAGGCCAGCCTCCAATCTCTAGAGTCTCCACAGCGCCAGTCCCAATATTAGCACAGATCTTAAAACTCCCTTTCCTGCATTTCTAACTTGGAGCCAGTAACGATGACCACCTGAAAACACTCCTGTGATGATAAGTGAGGCGATACAAGTGAACAAACTTTAAAGGTGTAGAGTAGCTGGGTGTGGTGGTGCACACCTGTAATCCCAGCTCCTCGGGAGGCTGAGCCAAAGGATGGCAAATCTGAGGCCAACCTAGGCAATTTAGCAATATTGGGTTTCAAGATAAACTTGTAAAAGGGCTGGGGATGTAGCTCAAGGCTCTGTGGATTCAGTCCCTGTACTGAAAACAAAAAGGGCTGCAGACTTCTTTGCCAGGCTTTTACAGCTCTGGGAACTGAGAGTCCAGCTCCACAAACCATGAGCTGCCACAAGGACAGTTACGATGTCGTCTCCGGTCACCAGTCGTGGCCTGCCCACCTCCAAATCACCAAAAAGGTTCTTACTGGAGAAGTTTATTTTCTAAATTCTAGCACCATGACTCCAAAGTCAATACCCAGATGTGAAACCATAGAAATGGCTGTCAAGGCATGAGCAATTCTTATTGCTCTTTGCAATGCTAGCTGTAAACAATCACCAGAAGGCCTGAGAAAATCTCTGGGGACTCAATGCTGAGAACAGTGTGGTTCTAACGTCAGCGGCACGGGGGTTAGAGTCAGTCAGTGGTGGGTTCAAACTCCAGCTCTGCCGGTTATTGTCTAGGTGATTTGGAGGGTATTATTTTTCTCTAAGCCTAGTTTTCTGAGTTACAAGATTTGAACAATCCTGTAAGTAATAAGATGCGCAACTGTTCTAGGACTGTTAGCTGTTTTCACAACATCAGTTGTAATAAAACCCTCTATAAATAATAAAATCTACACGGTATGTTTTTACAGATCGCAGCCATAAGTCCAGCTGACATCTGCTATGAGGAAACTTTATCAACATTAAGATATGCTGAAAGGTACACTTATGAATATTTCTTTACCACGGTGTGTCTGTGTTCTGAACCAGGGAACATTTTCCAGGTTGTTCCTGCTTGATAGGTCAGCCTACAGGGTGAGAGTCCAAGACAAGGAGATCAAAATGATCCGCAACAGAGAAGGAAAAGGAAATAAAACAAATAAGAAAAGAAATGATTCTGTCCTCGAGTCCTAGATAGGAGAGGAGTTGTGGTCTCAAATGGGAGAGGCACGGATGCCAATCCTGATGTGATTCGTTGCGTGCCTCCCTGTAATTTCCTGCCAAATACCATGGCTATTCACATATTCCTCTTACACAGGGACAGAATAGAGCCCGACAGGGAGTGGTTGTGCTAATAATAAACGAAGATGAACCATGGAATAGATGAGCTTCCAATGACTCCTTTTGAACAGGTCAGAGTCTCTTTGCTTGGTCACCTCATTTGCCAGAGTCCATGCAGGGGTTACACTCTTTGGAAAAGGCCTGGACCTAGGTGCCTCTTCCCTAGGGAAGGCTATCATCGCCTGCTGCCTTGTTGCCCACCCGACCTGGGAAACACCCTGTGTACAGTTAGCTCTGGCAGGAGGCTGTCCCAAGCTGTGCTCTTGCTCTTGAAGGCCGGCATCTGCAGCTCATCCTACGCCTGCCGCCCCTGAGCACTGTGAGAAAGGCGAGTGTGACTGTGGGTGGAAACCCATCCTCCAGGGCCCCATCCTCCTTCCCACACCAAGGCGGAGACCGAGGAGCCGCCCCTGCAGCTCCAATCCAGGCGGAGAGGAGCGGGGCGTTCTCGCCCTGCACTCCAGGAGCTCGGCGTCACACGGATACAAAGATTATTTGCCAGCCCTAGGTGTCGCTTGTCAGGGCTCAGCCTTGTGAGTCAGCTAGATCAGCTCAGGCAGCTCTGCAACCCGGAAAAGAGGCTGAGCCGGTGACGCCCTCTCCCTCACACACTGAGGGGCCGAACCATTCATTCCTGGAAAGCTCTGCCTGGCGTACAGGGGATGCTTGGAGACAAGAGTTACGATTAAGCCACCAAGTGATCGCCTTTCCTGCTAGTCTTCTCTTCCGCTGTCCTCTCAGTTTGTCACTTGTGTCTGTGGCACTTTCTTTCTCACCCCTCACAGCACAGCCTCAGCGTGTCACTTCATTAGGTGTTTTTTTCCGGCAACACAAACTCAGGTCTTTAGGTTGAATTTCTGCTTGAGCAGCATCTAGAATGCTGTTTTCTCCCTGCCTATCAGATGCGTGTGTGCTGCTAGCAGTTTTTGCAGGAGCGGTGACACTGCAGAGGAGAGAAAGAAGTTTGCTGTGGACTGTGTAACTCGGACTGGCCTTGCCAGTGACTGTTTCAGTCTCTCCTGTATAAAATGAGAGGGGCGAGATTGCCAGACTTAGCAAAAAAAATATAAGATGCTGGCTAAAGTTGTGGTTCAGAGAAGAGCATATGCTTTGCATGTACACTGTTCTGGGTTTGATCCTCAACACACTGATGCGTGTACTTGCATGCATACACACACACACACTCTCTCTCTCTCTATAGGATGCTAGGTTAATGTGATTTCCAATAAAGAGCCAGTCGTGTTTTAGGAAAGTATGCCCTATGCAATATTTGAAGTATTCCATGTGTTCTCTGGTGATACCGAAGGGGGATGAAGACTTCTAAGTCCCAAAGACGTCTAAGCTCCTCCTGGCCTGGGACACACGACAGAACAGGAGCTCGTGGCTCTAGGATTTCAGTTGCTCCAGCAGCAGTGAAATCGATTGTACAGATTCTCAAATAACAAAGTGTGTTCAGGCCTCAGGCCCCCCAGGCCCAGCACACTCCAGCTGAGCCGCACGGGTTTATTTGAACCATGTAAGTTACAGAAGTCACTTCCGGTCTTAATGGTGTAGTGGAACTGGAACTGGGCAGGGTGGAATCTCTGGTGACCAAGCAGGGTCAGGCTCCCACTCTGCGTGGCCTCTGAGCACACTTGCTGCTGCCCTGGGTCTGGTGGTTCAGCTCCAGCCACAAAGGGACCTGAGAGAGTGTTTGTCTTTGCTCGTGAAAGGGCTAAAAAGGTCCGGAACAAAGCTGTTGTCAACACCTGCACACTGGGAAGAGAGTCAAGGGCAGAGAACAGCAGACTACTGCTTGGGGGCGGAAACTCTGGAGTGCCAGGTAAGCTGAGTCAGGAGGCTATGCTCAGTCCGTGACCGGAGCAAGGAGGGGTCTGAGCTGGCTAATGCCCAGGGGCTGGGGTTGGAGGCCTGGAGCTGGGCCTGGAGCCACGGAAGAACCCCTGGGCAGAACTGGAGGGAGCCCAAGGGCAGGTGGGCGGGACCTCTGGGGCTTCGTTGGAGATATTTTGGCTTACCCTTAGAAAAAACCTTCAGGACAATGAAGACTCACGTGAGGTTATAAGAAATAATAGCCCTGCCTTTTAGAACAGCTATTTTAGTCTCTTTCTTTGTCATTTTATTTGAGGCCATCATTTCTACCAGGACTGCCGGTTTCCTTAACACTTGGGGAGTGGGTAGCATCTGACATTTATGGCTTTGTGCAGTTAAGTGAATGGTATAACCCAGGATCACCTCTTCTAGTTTAGTGCTTGGCTTGGTGACTGGGCTCCCCGCAGACCAGCGGACTCAGAGCCTCAGGCCAGCATGTGGGTCTAGTGAGTGTGGGCGCTTGCTTCAGCAATAATGGAAATGAAAGCCAAAGCAACAGCAGGTATTTACAGGCAAGAGTTTTAATTAGGAAGTAAGAGAAAAGACAGAAGGGACTGCAGTTTGGGACCTGAGGGCTGGTAAAATTGGGGGGCCGAAGAACACACTGTTTATGAGTAACAGATCGTGAGTTAAGGCCCTGGAGCGCACCTGTCCTTTGGCTTTGAATGTCTCTAACTCTGCCTCCCTCCTCTGCTAAGGTGTGCAGTGGATCACAATGCACAGTCAGCCAGAATCACTGCTTTAAATTAAGGCCCCAGTTTTCAGTCTGGTACCATGAAGATATACAAGGGGGATACACAAGGTATAGAATGGGTAATCACAATACACAGTGAAGGCTTAAATTTTAAAAATTATTACAGTAAAAGACACATTACCATTAATCCCCTTAAAATATTCCCCTCACTTTAAACACACCTCTCCCAGAATTCTTTTTATTTTTAATTTGTGTTAGTACATATTGATAGTACGTAAAGATTACATCCATCGTGAGGAGGTGGTACTTAATTCTTTTTGCTTCCCCTACTTTCTCTCCCAGCTGCACTTTTCCCTAACCTCCCTCCCATTCCCCCCATCTCTTTTTTTTTTCTTATTATCTATCCTTTAATTTGCTGTTTATTTACATTTTGGGTTTCTCACGTCAGAGAAACAATACGATATTTAAGCTTTTATGTCCCATTTATTTCACTTAACATTGTGGTCTCAAGGTAATTCATTTTCCTACCAATGATTCAAGTTTATCCTCCCTTATGGCAGCATAGTACTCTATTGTGTACAAATACATTTTCTTTATTCGTTCATCTGGTAATGGACATATAGACCACTTCCAAGATTTAACTATTATGGACTGTGCTGCTATAAAATGGATATGCATGTGTTACTGTAATATGATGACTTTAACTCTTTTGGGAAGATACCTAGAAGGAGAATAAATGGATTGAATGGAATTTCTTATTTTAGTTTTTTGAGGAATCTCCATAATATTTCCAAAATGGCTATATAAATTTATATTCCTGCCACAACATAGAAGTATTCCTCCCCCAGCCGGCCCCGCACCTCTACAGCCTAACCAGCATTTGTTGTTATCTGATTTCTTGATGATAGCCATTCTTTCTGGGGTAAAATGGAATCACAAAGCCAGGCATGGTGGCACACGCCTGTAATCCCAGCACTCAGGAGGCTGAGGCAGGAGGATTGTTGTGTGTTCGAGACCAGCCCGGGCTACAAAGTGAACTCAAGGCCAACCTGAACTGCATAGCGAGACCCTGTCTCAAAAAGACAAAAAAAAAAAAAAAAAAAAAAAAAAAAAAAATGGAAGCACAGTGTTGTTTCAATTTGCATTTCTCAAATAGTGAACTTAAGCATTTTTTCTTATATTTATTGGCCATTTGTATTTCTCCTTCTGAGAAATATCTGTTCATTTCAGTTGCCCATTTTTTGGTTGGGTCTTTTATTTTAGGGGAAGGTCTAATTTTTTTTGAGTTCTTTATATATTCTTAGTATTAGTCTTCTGTCCAAGGAATAGCTGGCAATATTTCCATTTTCCATTTCTCTTTATTTTATTCGCTGCTTCCTTTGCTGTATAGAGGCTGTTTAATTTGATATGATCACACTTGTTTTGTTTTGTTTTGTTTTGGTTTTGGTTTTTCTCCGGTACCAGGAACCGAACTCACGACCTTGCGCTTGCCAGGCAGGCGCTTTTGCCGCTGAGCTAAATCCCCAGCCCCTGATATGATCACACTTGTTGATTCTTGGTGCAACAGGAGTTCTGTTCAGAAAGTTCTTGCCTATGTCTATGTCTTTAAGAGTTTTACTTATTTTATCCTCCAGCAGATTGTTTCTGCATTAATACTTAGAACTTTGATCCATCTTGATTTTAATTTACATGGTAAGAGATATAGGTCTAGCTCTAGATTCAGTCTTCTGTGTGTGGATAGTCAGTTTTCCCAGCACCATTTGTTGAAGAGGAGCTACCTTTCCTCCAGCCTAAGTTGTGGGTCCTTTTGTCAAAGATCAGGTAGCTGAATGTGCTTGAAGTTATTTTTGCATCCTTTGTTCTGTTCCATTGATCCACATGTCTACTTCTCCCCTCAATACCATACTTTTTCTATCAATGTAGCTTTGTAGTATAAATTGAAGTCTGGAGTTGTGACTCCTCCTGCCTTGTTCTTGTTGCCCAGGATTGCTTTTGCTTTGAGGACTCTTCTGACTCCGTATAAGTTTTAGAGTTGTTTTCTCCAGTTCTGTGAGGAATGCTGTTGGTATTGGGATTGTTTTAACTCTGTATATCAGTTTTGGAAGCATGGCCATTTTGATTATAGTGGTTCTGCCTATTCAGGAACAGAGACTATTTTTCCATTTTCTGAGGTTCTTTTGTGTCTCCTTTTTCAGAGTGCTGAAGTTTTCATTGTCAACTTCCTTTTTTAGGTTACTTCCTAATTATTTACTTTTTCTCTATGCTATTATGAAAGGTATTCTTTCCCTAATATCTTGCTAGTTGAGTTCCTTATTGGTGTACAGGAATGCTGTTGATTTTTGTGTGTTTACTTTGTACCCTACTACATTGCTGAATTTGGCTATTAATTCTAGGAGGCTGTTCGTGGAATTTTTGGGTCTTCTATGTAGAGGATTATGTCATCTGTAAATAATGATAATTTGACTTTTCCTTTTCTATGTATATCACTTTTATTTCTTTCTCTTGCCTGATTCCTTGCATTAATATTTTGAGAACTATATTAAACAGTACTGGTGACACTGGGCATCTTGTTTCTAAGAGAGAGAGCTTTTAGCTTCCCACCTATTTAATATTAGGATTTTTGGCTATTGGTTTGTCATAAATTATCCCATCATTCTTGCCACTATCTGAAGCAGTTCTACAAGTCCTTTACAAGTGTCTTTACAAGGTATGATAAAAAATTGGTGAATGTTGCTGCCAACTACCATTCAATGGAAAGGCGGCCTTGTAAAACCATTGCAGTGTGTCCTCCTCCAATTTAATGACCAGATCTGGCACCAGGTGATCTTTCATTCTTCCCCTAAATCAAACTGACCACAAAAGCAAACATTTTTAATTGGTTCAGGACATTGAGGTAGCCACAGGGGTACAACTGAAGACACTCAGGAAAGAACTTCTCCAGAAAGTGGCCTGAAGGGGAGGATAAGTGTGTTCAAGGCCAGGGAGAGTGTTTTAAGGGGATTCATGGCAATGTGTCTTTTACTGCAATAAATCTTTTTTAAAATTTAAAAATTCATATATTTTATACTACAGGTACATTTTATGCCCAGTAATGGTTTAAAATGGGATGGATAATGAGGGTAAACTAGAAAGCTGTTGATGTACAATTGGTAAGGTGTTCAACATCAAGACAGCAACATAAAAAAACAAAATTTTTATGTTTAGTGCTGTGTAACACTCATGCTCCCAACCCTGGTCCCTTGTTCCCTCCCCAGCTGGACTGTCTGGTATGCCAGCTCTTCCTGTCCACGATCCCATTCATCGTGGTGTCAGACACGGTTCAGGTGGCCCTACCAGGAACATCCCCAGGCTTCCTCCTCAACAAAGCGCTTCCTAAGTAGAGTCAGTGCACATGGCTGGCCCACCCATGGATCTGGGTGCCACAAGTGTCTCTAACAACGAAACCTGGATGCGTTGGATATTGACATACACATGACATCTAATTCCCATTATTCATAAGCAAAGATACAAAATGCATGAAAGACAATGTAAGATAAATCTATGGTTCTTCCTGAACCCCATGGCCTGGTAGGGAATTCTCTTCAATGATGGTATGAGATGAAGCCTCCTCATAATCCCATAGGAAAGAGAGAGAGACTATCTCTCCTCCCCTTATGAGTTACACAGCAATGCTGCTCATCCGAGCACTTACCCAGTGAGTTCTCCACACTTACATGCAGCTCGGTTTCCCCTCCATGGGTGTCCCCCATCTTCACTGAGAACGCAGTTGAGAGTACTGTAGTGACTCTGTGCCTCATCTCTGACACCTCGGACCTAGTGCTTAAAATCCTCCCTCTTCCTAGAGTTTAAAATCCTCTACTGTTTCCTGGCAGAACACCAGCTGGGGACTCTTGCTGCCCAGGGCACCTGGGCACACCTGCTAGAGCAGGCACGGAGAGAATGGGAGCAGCAGTACGCGGCCGTGGCCCTGGTGAGCCTCCCTCCTCCCCGCCGAGGGCGGTCTCCACCCTGTATGTGGAGACCCCTGTCTTAGTTACTTTTCTCAGTACTGAGACAAAATCCCTGACACCCAAAGTTAAAGGGAGAAAGGTTTATTTATCTCACAGTTTGTAGAGGTTTCAGTTCATAATCAGCAGGCTCAGGCTGAGTGGCATAGCAGACAGGCATTGCAGAGGAGAAACAGTTCATGGTGGGCAGAAGGTAACAAAGCAACAAGGGATGACCACAGCTCTTTCTATCCCTTATAGCTTATCCAGGCTACTGAGAGCAGGTAACACTCACACCCTTAATCCTAGCTCCCTTGAGCCTAGCACTGCACCATGAATCAATCCTAGCATCACACACTGTAGATCCAGCCACCTCTGAAAAATTCCCACCGAGGACTGCGTGAGGCTTTTGGCAGGGGGTCGGGGGATGCATCTAGGCACAAATCCTAACAGCCTCCAAGTGTGGTGAGGGTTTGCCAGCAAACACATAGATGGGACATATGATATAGGACTGATTATTACTGTGGAGCTGCGGGGGCAGCCCCAGGGCAGGAAGAAAGAGCCAGAAAGGCCTAGGTGCACACTGGTGAGTGCAGCTGAGCGTGCAATTCGGGGCTGCTGGTGATTAGAGTTTGGGGAGAATTTGAGGCTTATGAGTTGTCCCCTAGGTGTGTATGGAGTGACCTGAGCCATGGCATCTCTCCTGGCACTTACTATCAGTATCAGATCACAATGGCCTGTGATACAGATTTTTTTTTCTGGTGCTAGGGATGGAAACCTGGGCTTTGCAAAATCTATACAAGTTCTCTTCAGCTGAGCTACATCCCCAACCCCTGGGCTGTGATGCAAATGTCATCCATGGGTGAGGGAGATGCCCTCTCTGCCTCCTCTTGGCACCCCCAACCCACCACAACTTCACAGCTGCGAGGCTCCAGGCACACCCCAAAGTTACAGGTCAGACCTGGAACACAGGACGGTGGGAGAGCCCATCCTGGATGCTGGAGACCTTGGAAGCCTAGACCAGGTCGCAGGAGGCAGGAGAGGAGTGGGAGGGGTCTGTGGTATCGGAGCTTGGATGAAGTTAGGGACCAAGGATTCTAAAGGCAGGACAACATGGGGTGCAGCTGGGAGCTTTACTAAAGCAGCATCCTGTTAAGGGGGAGCAGGGCCTATGACTCTTGGGCCAAGTAGGACTTAGCACAGGTGTAGAGAATTTGTGTACTGCATGAATCACGACAATTGAAAAGATTTCTATCCTCTTTACTCTTAATCAGAATGGATTTTAAGAATTAAAATTTCTCTGGGCTAGAGAGTTAGCTCAGCGGCACAGTGCCTGCCTGGCAAGCATGAGGTTGTGAGCTCAATTCCCAGTACCAGGAAAAAAAAAAAAAAAAAAAGAATTAAAATTTCTCCTTGCATGGAATTAGGGGTTTGGCTCAGTAGCATAACACTTGCCTACCATGCACGAAACCCTGGGTTCCATCTCTAGCACCACACCCACACACACAACACTCACACACACAATTTCCTTGTGCCTGTGGAGTTTATTCCAGTCCTGTTTGGCTAGCAACCCTCTATCAGCATGAAACCAGCCAGTACTTGCTTTAAAAAAATGAATGCACTTAGCTAACCAGGGGAGGGTTAATGCAAAGTGTCTTTTTTTTGCCATCAGCACCTAGTGGCCAATTAAGCGGTGGCAGGCCTTTAGAGGATGGCAGGATGAAAGGATCCCAGCGAGGCACTGCTGGTGGGGCATCCAGGCGGCTGGGAGCAGGGAGCCCCAGGACTCCAGGGTCTGAAGAGATGGGTGGGGCAGATGTCGAGACAGAGGCAGCACAAGGGCAGCTGGTGGGAGGAGGGCAGGGACAGCCGGCGGCTGTGCTTGGAAGAGCCCTGTCCAGATGCACTCAGGCTCCCAGCAGCTGACCCCGCCCTGCTAGGCCACCTCCCACACTCGGCTCCACCCCATACAGGATCAGCTGGGAAGTAGACTGGGAGGGTGCGGTTTGATCACAAGACTCTCCCTCTCTCCTCCAGGAACGGCAGCTGACGAAGACCCTCCCTCACCTTCTTAACGTCAACGAGGACCCGCAGCTCTCCAGGGTCCTCAAGTACTTCATTCACGCCGGTATTCACTCTTGCCCTGCCCTGGTCCTGCTCTGCTTCTGGCCCAGTCATTTTCCTTCCTGCCCACCCGCCTTCTTTTCCTTCTTTTTTGATTTTTAACACTGGGCAGTGTCCCATGGCTGTAATCCCAGTACTTGGGAGGCTGAGGCAGGAGGATTGCCTGAATTCGAGGCCAGCCTAGGCTACATAGTGAATCAGAACCAGCCTGAGTTACATAGTGAGACCCTGTCAAAACAAAACAAAACAAAACAAACTGTGGCACAATATGTAAAACAAACTTCACCAAAATGCTTAAAGCATTTCTAAGAGTATACTCTTAAAGGGCACTAAGCACCTTCACACTCCTGTGTAACCATCACCAACATCCGTCTCCAGAACTCTCCGTTATCATCTCAAACTGAGCCCACTAAAAACTAACTCCTCACCCTCCCGGGCCCTGGAAACCACAATTCAAGCTTCTGTGCCTGTGAATTTGACTATTGCAGATAATTTACATATAAGTAGAATCATTCAATATTTGTAGGGTGAAGACTGATTTAAGTTTACCCATCTTGTAGAGCACTTCAAAACTTCCTTTTCTAAGGCTGAGTAATATTCCATTGCATGCAGATACCGTATTTTGTTTATCTGTTATTCAGGTATGGTTCTTTTTCCATTAAAATATTTTATATTTTTTCCATGAAAAAGTAAGATATACTTGTTTTGATTAATGCAGCCATGCAAAAAATGTATATGACTGATCATTGATAACTTATTTCCTAAAAGGTTAGCCACTGTTAGCCTGGTGTGCAAGGTGGAATTTTCCCAGAAACAAACCTTGAGACAATCTTTCAGGTGGAGATGATTTATTCAAGATTTGCTCCTGGGAGAATCCAATGAAGAAATGGGGGAGCTGGCATAGAAGCAGCGAAGAGCTAGGCAAGAGTGTACCATGTTTCTCCAGAAATGGGACCTAACTGTAAATAATCAGCCTTGAAAACTAGAGATCAAAAATGCCAGCCCCAGTCAGCCTGGCCTGGCCTTACCTGCTGTTGCTCTCCTGTTCAGTGACTGCTCTGTTAAGGCACGTAAGGTGAGGATAGGCTGATTGTGGCTGGCATTTTTGATCTCTAGTTTTCAATGCTGATTATTCTCCAGAGAGGTCTTACTTTTGGGGGAAGAGGCTACTTTCAAGGGAATTCTCTCAGAAAGCTCTAGAGTATAAACTGTGCCTTGGCAATAAGGGTCTGCCTGGCAACAAAGGCTTTGTATTCAGCCGTGTCGAAGCTTGTGGGAGACATAAAACCACCAGGTGTTCCGTCTCCATCCTTCTTGAGAATGGGTACGCTCTAGTGCCCAAAGCAATCTTCTCAGTCCTCGCAGTGTTGCAGTTGCATCCTGGCAGGAAAGGCTGCTGAGGCTGGCATGCATGTAGAGAGCCGTGGTTCTTACCACATTTTTGTTTCGTAGTTTTGGAACCTTGAAATATCTCTTTGACTTAAATGGACACTGAGTGTGTTGGAATACAGCACCCGGAGTAGCAATGACCCCTGGCTCCCTGGCTGCTAAGATAGGTGTGGGTTCCAGGATGGTAGTGGGGGCAAGGAGACACTGGCCAGGGCTGCCCAAAAGCTGTAGGTGACACCCTCTGCCTCCCCCTACGGCTGTCACTAGGCAGACCCAGAGATGGAGCTTCAAGGAGTCTTCCTGTGCCAGGCTTCACAGTGTCTTCCAAGGCCCAGTGTCTTCTGATTTCTTTCTCCAAAATGCCCATGAAGAAGGCACAACTTTCAAAAAAACCTAAGACTACCATGAAAAAGGCAGAAGGTAAAAAAATCCATAAAGCAAAGTCATATCCAGGCACCACTGTAACTGACAACCCAGCTGGAAAATCCCTTCACATGATCCTTCCGAAGAGAAGAGGTCACTTCTAAAACATCAGATGTGTTGCCCTGTTAGGACCAAACCCTGACCATTGAAGATGAGCTGTCCTAACTCTTTCAGGTTCCTGTGACGCTGGTCAGGCTGCTTCCAATGCTATCACTCTTCAAGGCCTGGGGTAAGTTTCTGTGACTTAGCATCTTTGTCCAGCATTAGAACATTAGGACCGGGGCTGGGGATTTAGCTCAGCCACAAAAGCGCCTGCCTGGCAAGCGCAAGGTCGTGAGTTCGGTTCCCAGTACCGGAGAAAAACCAAACCAAAAAAAAAAAAAAGAACATTAGGACCGCTTGATACAGAGGAGGTGCTGGAATGTCACCAGGTTGTGGGCAGCCCAGGTTACCGATCCTACTGGACAAATATGAAGGGTCCTCTTTCGTGACCTACTGTGTGACAATGTTTAGGAAGGGTCTTGTTCTCTAACTGAAGTCTATTGGACCAGGCTCACTGTTCTCTTGGCTCTGGTCTTGAGAAATAAGGAGATGTCAGTGACAAAAGTCTGTGTGGTGATTCTTCATAAACAGAAGTGAGATCTGGTGAGGAAACAATTGAAAGGGCAAGCCCATTACAGGTGGCCCATGACTTCAGTGGTCTCATCTCCAAAGGCAGCTGCATCCTCAGATCTCAGTACTTGGGACCTTCACAGACTGGACTAACAGGTGACAGCCTACATTTTGGGGTGATTCTCTCCACCAACGACTCCCTCAGGAGTCCCTTATAGAAGTCTATGAAACCCTAGGGCCTATGTCTTAGTTACTTTTCTCGTTGCTGAGACAAAATATATAACATCCAAACTTAAAGAGGGAAACATTTACTTCAGCTCACAATTTGTACAGGTTTCAGTCCATAATCAGCTGGCTCCAAGGCAGGGTGATGTGGCAGAGGAGTATTGCAGAGGAGAAACAGTTCATGGCAGGCAGAAGGCAGCAAAAGCAGAACGCAGCAACTGACAACAGGAGCCCGCTTTCTGTCCCTTATCCAAGCTGACGACCTGTGGAGCACCCTTAACCCTAACATCACACCATGAATCAGTCACAGAATCATATCCTTAATCCCACCATCACATACCCTAGAACCAGCCACCTCCAAAAATCCCTCCCTATGACCACTATGGCTTTCCTGATGAAGTTG